AAAGATTATTCATATAGCGATCTCGGATACCGTCCCTTTAGTCACAGCACGGCCCAAAAGAAAGTCATCGCGGTTGGAGAGAGGCACGCAACGTATTCTGCAAACAAAGCGGAAGGCTTGGTTTACGTGGAGAGTACTCAGAAGTCAGATCGACCAGGATCCATAGATGGAACTCAGGAACCGGTGCAATGCAGGAGTCAGGAGGGACAGGAGGTAATTACAGGCTAACCTTGCTAAAAAACTCCTAGCAAACCCCAAAATCTTGTACCGATTCATGTTGGAAAGAAGGCCGACAAACCAGGGGGCATGCGCCTTAATAGGACCAAACGGTCAATATCTCACTGGTCTGGAGATGGCTGAAACATTCAGTTTAGCCTTCGCCAGACAGCCAAACAGCAATGTGGGCATTGCGGTTACGGACCAAAATGGTGGCACTACTATTTCTCAGGAGGAAAACCTAGTGGATAATCCCCAAATAAATCCCCAAAAGCACTAAGGGAGCTACAGTGACTCATACCTGGGAAGTCCCCAGCTTGTGACGACATCAGATCATCTGTTCTGAGAGAGTGCGCCGAAACTCTCTGTAGGCCCTTATGCGACTTGTTTCGACACTCAATGGAATCGGAGAGACTGCCAAAGGAGTGGAAAAGAGCCATCCTCTCCTCGAACTTCAAGGGTGGGGATAGGCAAAATGCCACTAGTTACAGACCAGTAGCTCCACTCCCTTTGGTGTCAAAAGTACTGGAAAGTATTATTGACGACCACATCGAGGAATATCTCGGTAGGTCTAATATACTCCATGAAGCCCAACACGGTTTCAGGAAAGGCATATCCTGTGTAACTAACTTGCTATCAGCTTGGGACGATTGGACATCATGCTGGGATATGAATGTTCCAGTCCAAGTGGTCTTCCTAGACCTTGGGAAGGCATTCGACACAGTTCACCATGACCTTCTACACAAAATAAGCTAGGCATGTATAGGTAAGCCACTTCTGTCACGGTTAAAGGACTACCTAGCTGAAAGGCAATTTTGCACTAAGGTCAGTCAAGTCCGACCGTCTTGGCACAGCTCATCATCAGGAGTGTCGCAGGGTTCTATCCTAGGACCACTCATGTTTTTGATTTTAATCAATGATCTACTATGCCGTTTAAGCTGCCCGACACTTCTATACGCTGGCGACGTAAAGGTATGGAGGGCGGTAAAGTGTCTGGAGGACTCAGATAGGCTGCAGGAAGATCTAAACCTTCTGGAAGACTGGGCGGTGGTCAGTGGAATGACTTTCAACCTGAAAAAGGGCAAAGTAGTGAAGTTACGCACCCATAGACCGCAGAAAGCAAGTTACACCCTGTGCAATGAAAGCTTACCCTGCACAACATCGAAACGCAACTTAGGTTTAGTTATAACGCAAAAAATTGACACAAGCGTAAATTACACGGGGAATGTAGCGAGGGCATATGCGGTCATACATTTTACACATAGACAGGTGCACTCACTCCTGAGCTCTTTCTGAGGTTGTACAAAACATACGTCAGACCACACCTTGAAGTGCATAATATTATTGCACCCCCAATGCTTAGAAGGGACGCCAATTTCTTGCAACGAGACCAACGACGGTCAACAAAAGGAGTGGCTGGTCTCCGAAATAAACCATATGATGAAAGGCTGAAGAAATTAGGCCTATTCACACTTAGCCACCGTCGTCTTAGGGGGGATTTAATTACTGCCTACAAAATAACAAATTACCAGAATCACCCAAACAAAGGTGTTCCGCCATTGAGTAGGTTTAGGCTCCCTCGTGGAAATCCCAGAAGGATAGCTCACCAGAGGGCAAATACCCGGGTGCGCTCCCACTTCTTTTCACTGCGGGTTTGCCGTCCCTGGAATTCCTTACGGGTAGATGTAGCTATGGCATCGTCTGTGGATGCCCTCAAGCGAAGGCTGGACAACCATGGAGTGACACAAGGACTGCATACAAACAGCCTATCTCCTTAAAGTCGCATACACCATTCAGGGGTAGACTATTAAACTTGTCGTTTTACTTCTTTACATCCTCTCCCTTCTCACTCTCCTGACAACTTTGACTACACCTATTATAATCATTATTACCGATATATATTATTCATATTATTCCTCAAATTTAACCAGCTGACCGTTGTTACGTTTTCTTATTTCTTTTTCTGTCTGTTAGTCTGAATAACTTCACTAACTATATCTATTATTATCTCTTTTTTTTAGACGACGATACTGGAGGACTAACTGGTGAAAGGATCAACTGCATTCACAATAGTAACAGTCTTAACACACCTCATACTACAAACCACATATAATTAATCCCAGCACAACTTTTGGATTCAACCAAAGCTACGGGAGTCTAGTGGTGGGACGAGCTACGTAGAAGTTTGCCGAAGATCAGGAACCTGTACCTCAAAATCAAGAGGCGAGCACAGAGAAATCAAATTGGTTTATACTAGCTTATAAAAACGATATTGGATATTGGAGCTCGTAAAAACATTGTTGGGTATTGGGGCAGTTTAATCTGAAGGTCATCAGGCCTCTCAGGTGATTATCACATTCTTGAAATTTCGTTGGGAGGTCAATAACGCCATTGATATCATTTCCTTGTTTGATATTCTTGTTCAAACGACCGTGCCGAAACTTCAAAAAGCCTGAACACTTTCGTGTTCAGTTGTAACACTAACTGCAGCTAATTGAGCTTATTTATGGATTTGTAGACCTAATGCATTTGCCAGACATAGCGAAAATTTCATGGGATACATAGTAACCTTGAGCCTAGTTTTGGGTTCATTGTAGATAGTGATGGCCTCAGGTGAACATATTGAACCGTGACAAGAACACGATGTTCGTCTTGGTTTTTCTGCAGTGTAACCGAAGTTTTTGCTAGCTGGTGCTTTCACGTGGAAGCACCAGCTTCACACTAAGTACTTAGTGTGAAGCTCTAATCAAATATATACTGTGAGAATAAATTATAAGGGTCTATGAATGCACTTAAACAGACGTTCGAATAACAGTGTGTAAAATACTTTGTTTCATTGAAAAATTGTACATCTAAAGGATAAGACCAACCCTTAGCCCTTAATCGACGCCGTTATAACATTCATTCCGGAAATTGTTCCTGTCTGTAACTTATAACCCTAATCTAACGGTTAAGCCTAGCTCCTAAAGTTAAAAGTATGCTAATCAAGTTGACAGGAATCCCTTAAAACCACACATACTTGGCCACTTGGTGGCTGGTATATTTCATCTTCGCCACATATACATGGGGAGGCTTTCGACTAATGGACTTATGTCAGTGTTTCCGTTCAGTTCCTACAGCAGATTACACCGATTATAAGTGCATTTCGGGACTCAGTCACTCGTGTTTAGTTTTCTAATAAATTCTTTTATTTTTAGAAAATGTATGTGTAGAAATCTTTGAAAGTGGTTATGCAGTAAGTCCACTCAAAGTGTCAGATAATGAGACTAACGTACTATTACACACATGTATACCGTATTCACTATTACATAGAATAGAACAGTCGCATTGTCTATGACGCATGTATGCACTGTATTTTCTGGTGTTACGAATAATCTAGGATAATTTTTTTGTAATGTGGTGCCAGGTCATCTGAACAGCCTATAATCACATGTATCCTCGAATATGGGGCAGTAAAGATTATATAAATGATTGTGCTGCCAGCAACCTCATCCCAAATTCATGTCTGAATATGTAAGTTTCCACAGTTTGTCTCCTCGTTATAAGTATCGGGATTTATAGTAGCACTGCACTCAGTATCTTCTGGGCTGGCAAATAATAAGAACCCGTTTTGTATCTAGCTTATTCAAAAACGAAACTACTGAGTTGATCTGCACCATATGGCATTATTCTTCTATCCCTTGGTCTGTGCAGTGTATTCCTGTCAACATTTAGAGCTGAAGATTCCATTGTTAACTTTAAAACATGTAAGTGAGTGTTGAAATAAACGCCCTCAACACACACTGCATTTTGGTGTAAATAACATGAGCCAAGGCAAATACTACCTCCTTAACAAGTATGATCCTAATGAATAGCTTAAATGTGCGTCGGTGGCACAGTGGTTAGGACTCTCACCGAGCATGTACATGGTCCGGGATTCGATCTCCTGCCGACGCACACCTGATATCAATGGTCAGCCTGAAAAATTTGGCTACCGATATCACATGCTGAAAATTACATATTTCTACCAAAAAGTACTGCGTTGAATCAAGCTATAATCAAAGTGTAATTAATTTAAAAAATTTATTGATAGACTTAGTTACTTAGAACTCAGTTACCCGGCAAATGTTTTTCACGCACTAGGCCATTAGTCACACATTGTGTGAGAGCTTCTGATACAATACACTTAGGCTGAAGTAGGTAGGGCAGGATTCGAACGCATGATCCACTGGCTAAGTTTCTATTTCTGAGATGAGAAATCCATATCTCCGCTCGGTTTTTTTTAAAATAAAGCACTCTTTCGTTGTTGACTAAAGCTGGGCTACAGATTTTGGATAAAATACCACAGCCAGATTTCCCAATGCTACAGATGCGTGGACTTCTTATCTGACGCACTTCTGTGCCATGTTCTTTTCTGATGTGTATTTGTCCTCAACAATCCTGTAAAAATAAACTTGACTGGGTCTGTCTTAACTAAATAGATCCGTTGCAAAGATCCAATTCCCTTAAATAATTGGATTCAATAAGTTCAAAAGCATCACTGGTTATATAAATAGGATTCCTGAATTCCATACTCAGTAGATTATTTGGAAGCGGTGTGTTATGTTTCTAAGTGTTTCCAGACTCACGATTTCACTCGCTCATGTTGGTAGAGTGTTGCCTATTTGAAGCACTTTGGAACGTTCTTTAGGTGATAAGCATTGAATTGTTGTGCTAAATTATCTTATCTCAGGTTTTTCTCCTTTAGACCTGCCGTCCAAATATCAAACTGCAACAGTTCTTAGACCTTTATTATTTAAATCAAAATGCGCCATGTGCGATGCTTGTCGCAGTGTCAGTTTTATCCTGATGCAACAGTTAGTATCCCTGTAAACATTTCCTTCACTAGAGCTTTCTTAGGGTATGTTAACTTTCAGATTTTTGATACTATATAACTTGACGTATATTTAGAGATAATTTTAAGGGTTTAAGAAGACGCTGTGTGATGGCGAAACTCAACCAAGAATCTCCTAACAACTCTAGTCCCAAAAATTTTTCCAAAGTTTCAAAGGATGCAATACCGAAAAAAGAAGTGGGATCGAGTCTTACAAAAACACTTCCGGAACCTGTTTGCAAACATATTGTTTTCTCTGATTCTGAACTAAATCCTTCAGATACTATGCCGGCAACTTCTATCAAAACCGTCCATTTACCAAAGCATCGTACTGGAGTGAATACGCTACCGAATGGAATGTCAAGAAATTATTTAAGCTCTGTTTCTTATACCTTGAGGAATTTACTCAACAAAAGTTCTTCAGAAAGTGAATCTTCGTCCACCGATTCTGCCCATGAATATACAACTCAGAATCCCGTTCCTATGAATAATTCTTCGCGACAAATAACAAAACAGTTGACTTCAGCAGATGTTCCCACTGAGAATTCTATAGGCAGTAATTTAGTGGCCGATAGTGATATTAATAATTGGAATGAAATGTTTGATGAAATGCAGCGATTGGGTTTCCCAACCACCTTTGGTCGCGTATGTTCCATTTATTTGTTATCAATTAATTGAACTTGTTTAGCCTCAAAATAATAGACATGAGGTTTCGAAGTATGTAAGGTAAGCAAATTTCTAGTTGATTTTGTAAGAGTACAGAGATTACGCGTGTTTCTGTTTTGGTTGCTTTGTTACTTTTTAGGCTTAAGTTTGTTTGTGCTCATGTATATTTGTGGCTTTTAGTGAAAAGGAAGATAGTGGAATTAGATTTTAAAATTTTTGTTCTCCTCATTAAATTAATAATAAAAATAATTATAGATACAAAAAGATATCGTCGATATAAGGCTTTAGATTGCCGCATCTTACTTCAAGTTGTTACATTTCATATTTGAGCATCGGTTAAATAAGTAGTTAGGGAAATAAGATAGTGGAAACCATGAAGTCAAAGGTCATAAAAGGCTTCAAAACAAAAGATATAAAGATGAATGGAAGAAATGTTTTATTACAAGTAAGGTAATAATAAGATTTCGTCAGTTACCAACTAATCAGACGTTGGTATGATTTCCCACCCGACCGAAAGCTGCTACCTTGTCGTGGTGGTCGGGCTTGAACACCGCAATGACCTAATCAATCTATACTAGCTGAGACTTATGTCTCTTGAGGTCCTACCACGCCAGAAAGGTTGTTTGGATAGCGGTTAAACAAAAAGCAGCTACCCAATCCAACATCATGTCCAATACAAAATCACAAAATTTCATGCCGGATCGGCCGTGGCCCGGATTAACAACGACCGCGCTTCCTGCTGCCGTGTCACAGGGCAGGAGTGATAAGTATGCTACTGAGACACACCAAACAAAAGAGAACAAACAAAAACAGGCCGCGTGTGACCGGCCTCAAGCAGTTGTCCCCTGGGCTCTGCGGTCACGCAACCAACTTCCACGGTGTGGGCAGCCGGGAAGTAACAATCGCCCTCACAATCCGAAATGCACACCAAACCTCTCTAATACTCACTCATCTTTTTCGTCATCTTCATCTCTATCATCTTGCCTTCCTTCCACTGATGCAACTCCTCTACTTGATAGCTCTTCACTTCCTCTTCACTCTGTGTCCACTAAAAACGACGGAAGCCAAAAAACCACCACCGATAGTCCTCCTAAAGCAGGCCACCAATTTCATATAGGAGCATTTAATGTTAGGACACTTTGCCAAATAGGACAACAAGCATCACTAGCTAAGACCCTGGCATCCCGAGCCATTGATGTATGTTGTGTTTCAGAAACACGCATACAAGACCCAAGTGTGGTTATTCACCTAACCCCACCTGGCCAACAGGTTGAATCTGCAAAATTCACCTTGAGGGTGTCAGGAGATGCCACAGCTAGTTCACGAGGATTAGCTGGCGTAGGGATAGCTTTGAGTACTAGGGCAGAAAAGACACTACTTGACTGGATCCCGGTAGATAGCCGAATGTGTGCTGTCCGTCTGAACGGATCAGTAAGAAGGAGAAAGGACTGCACTACTCGCCGATGCCTTTTCGTAATCTCCACTGACTGCAGTTCGGATGAAACGAAGGATGAGTTCTACCAAAAGCTGTCTAGTTTGGTGAGAAAGGCTAAACGCTCAGATATAGTCGTTCTAGCTGGTGACTTTAATGCTCAAGTAGGGAAATTGTGTCAATCTGAGAAGGATGTCGGTGGCACCTATGGAGTCCCGTGCCAGCGAACCGACAACGGTGACCGTCTCCTACAGTTCTGTTCTGATAATCATTTGTTTCTTGTAAGCACTAACTTCAAACACAAGGAGAGACACTGTTTGACTTGGAGACCCCCTTCATCAAACCAACGCTGGACACAAATAGACCACATAGCAATAAGCTATCGTTGGCGTGGGTCGGTAGGAGATTGTCGCTCCTTCTGGAACACGTGCGTAGATACCGATCACGCACTGGTCCGGCTCGTGTGTGCTTACGACTGAACGGACGTAGGAAACAGCTGGCGGTAAAACCATCACGTCCCCAGCTCGATCAGGAAACTAAATCCCTATTTGAGGAAGAACTAGCTAAACGCATATCTGAGTTCGACAGCTGTGCTCACCCTGGAGAAGCCTGGAAGAATATTCAGTCAGCCATAAATACAGCTGTAAAAGCTGTGAATAAGGTAAATCCAAAGGTGAGTAAAAACCACTGGATTTCGACTGCCTCATCCGAACTGATAGATGCTAGAAGACTTATTCCGGCGAGCTCCGAATATGATGAGGAGCGAAAGCTGCACAAAAGGAAACTGACTAAAAATCTCCGCAAGGACCGTGAACAGTGGTGGGCGACAAAAGCGAAAGAGATGGAAAAGGCATCGGCGATCGGTAACACCAGACAGCTATTTCGATTTATCATAGAAACACGTGGGGAAATGCAAACGATGAGTGAAACAATCTCTGAGGAAAATGGCACCATAATCAGTTCCCAGGATAGACAACTGGAACACTGGAAAGAGCCTTATGAGGAGCAGTTTAATGGGCCCACGGGCATGCTCAACCTGCCGAACATCCAACACCTCCTTGAATGGGATATAGACACAGGTCCTCCATCCCTAACTGAGGTTACTAAAGCTGTCACCAATCTGAAACTAGGCAAAGCAGCGGGACCTTATGGAATGACTCCAGAGGTATTTAAGTACGGTGGAGACAGTTTACTGTTTGCGTCAACTGAGGTTTTAGGCAGCGTGTGGGAATCAGAAGAAGTCCCACCGGGTTGGTGTAAGTCACTGATTATCCCCATATGCAAGAAGGGAGACAAGTCTTCCTGTGATAATCACAGAGGGATTAGCTTGACTAATATAGTATCTAAAGTCCTAGGCTCAATAATCATGCGTAAGCTAAGTGGTGCTCGGGGGCACAAACACGAGAGAACCAGGCAGGCTTTAGACCAGGAAGAGGGTGTATTGATCATATCTTCACCCTTCGACAGATTCTGGAACATAGGTATTCTTACTGGCGTCCAACAATCATTATATTTCTTGACATTAAGGCAGCATTCGATTTCGTTGACCGAGAGGTACTCTGGCGATGCTTGGCTGTAGAGGGAATGCTGAGAAAATACATCGAACTGATTAAGGCACTCTACTTGTACTCATACAGCCAGGTGAGGGCTTACGGCGAGTTGTCATCTGAACTGGTGACGACTAGTGGTGTCTGTCAAGGATGCCCATTATCCTCTTTTCTATTCAACTTCATCATAGATGTACTAATTGACTTAACCGTAAGTGACATCAGCGACTCAGGGATTGACTTGCTACCGGGGAATAATCTCGTTGACTTGGAATATGCAGACAACCTAGTCCTGTCTGTCTGTTTTCGACATAGAACTTTGCACAAATGTGCGGAAGTTCAAGTCGCCACATTCCGTGTAGCACGCGAAGCAAGAGAAGAAAGTACAAGAAAAGCATAATACACAACATAGTCCTACTAGGCGAGGACTCGGAAAAAATGCAGAGTCTTCTAAACACCTTGAGCTGCAACCTACGAATGTTTGGCATGCGATTCGCTCCCGCCAAATGCAAGATGATGTTACAGGACTGGACTACAGCGACTCCTAGTTTAAAAATAGGAAGTGAAGTTGTAGTGCATGTTGACCGCTTCTCTTATTTGGGAAGTACCAACAGCCCCAGCGGGTTAATCTCTGACGAAATCTCAGCACGAATACACGGGGCTCGTTTCGCATTTGCCAGTTTATGCTGTCTCTGGCGTAGACGAGATATTCGACTATCGACCAAATGGCGGGTGTACTCCTCATCAGTCTGCTCCGTCCTCCTTTATGGCTAGCTGTGAGACCTGGCCACTGAGAGTGGAAGATATGAAAAGATTAGCTGTCTTTGATCATAGGTGCCTGCGTTCTATCTCCCGTGAAAAGTGGCATAATAAGGTGAGCAATATTGAGGTTACGCGTCGAGTTCTAGGTAAACAGGGGAAATCAGTCGACGAAGTTGTGAAGTCATAAACACTGAGATGGTTAGGACATGTGTTGCGTATGCTAAGTCATCGCCTTCCTCGACGAGCAATGTAAGCTGACATAAGATCAGGCTGGAAAAGAGCTAGCGGTGGTCAAACCAAAACATGGCTCCATCAGTCAATGGAATCCACAACAGTTAGTTTAAGCCAGTCAGTCACGTGGGAAGGTGTAGACTTCCCGGTTGCAGTCCTCGAGACAGTAAAAACCAATGGTTGGAAACAATTGGTGACATGGCTTCAAATCGTTCTCAATTGCTCAGATTCATCCACTCCTTGTGACTTATGATTTCCAATGAAACTATATCGTTCTTCGTTATTACTCTTCCTTTGTCTCACACCCTGCTTACTGTCTCTATTATGCTTTTCTTGTACTTTCTTCTGTTTCTTTGTGTGCTACAAGGAGGGAGTGTGGCGACTTGAACTGGTGCACATCAGTGCAAAGTTCTATGTCGAAAACAGAGAGGTATGATTTCCAAGCAAGTGTTCAAATGGAGTGTCAATACAGTCGAGCCATGAAGTAGCGATTCACATTTTAGAAGTGATGTCTCCTGAGTATTCAAATCTTATCGCTTTAAATGAGTGTAAGTGAATTTCCTTGATTGATAGACACAATTTAATACCTCATGTAATAGTATATCTCCTTGTCGAAAATTTATACTAGCCGGGAATATATAATTATCTGTGTATTTGGGATAAAATAGTCCACTGGGTTCAAAGTCTGAAATTAAAACGTAGGGGTTTTCCTACCTTTCTTTACTTCCTTGTGCACTAAATTCTCATCAAATTAACACATCTAAAAATTTAACTTGCCTTAGTAGACCGGTTATATTTTGGTAGGAATCATCTGTATCTTCAGAACCGTATACAGTCAGTAAGTAAGCAGAAATTCTCTTCTTTTTGGATCTCGATTTCTCTTATCTATAAAAGTGTCATTTTGTCGGACAGTATTCATACATTGTTAACCGGATTCACTGCATTCTACTGGGATTCAAAGACGTTAGGATTATCTGACCTACGGACACTCTAAACTTAAAACATTTAGTCATAATCCTATGATCAGACTAGCTGAAGTAAACTAAGCTCTCTGAATCTTTTGTCTCTATCCCTTAAATATATCACATTTCCATGGCTCATGCTAAATTTTCGGTTCAACCTAAAGTACAATATTGTTGATAATCAAACAATAGTGTTAGTCTACATCATACAATACGCGACTTCATAACTAATTGCACTAACCTAAATTGAATCTACTAAATGTCTGTCTGTTTTCGACATAGAACTTTGCACTGATGTGCACCAGTTCAAGTCGCCACACTCCCTCCTTGTAGCACACAAAGAAACAGAAGAAAGTACAAGAAAAGCATAATAGAGACAGTAAGCAGGGTGTGAGACAAAGGAAGAGTAATAACGAAGAACGATATAGTTTCATTGGAAATCATAAGTCACAAGGAGTGGATGAATCTGAGCAATTGAGAACGATTTGGAGCCATGTCACCAATTGTTTCCAACCATTGGTTTTTACTGTCTCGAGGACTGCAACCGGGAAGTCTACACCTTCCCACGTGACTGACTGGCTTAAACTAACTGTTGTGGATTCCATTGACTGATGGAGCCATGTTTTGGTTTGACCACCGCTAGCTCTTTTCCAGCCTGATCTTATGTCAGCTTACATTGCTCGTCGAGGAAGGCGATGACTTAGCATACGCAACACATGTCCTAACCACCTCAGTCGATGTAACTTCACAGCCTCGTCGATTGATTTCCCCTCCCTACCAGCACTTGACCGAAGCCTAACCTGAATATTGCTCACTTTATTTATTTATTTTTTGATTACAGCTTGATTCCACACTGTATTTTTGGTACAAGTATGGAATTTTCAGCGTGGATATCGGTAGCCCGAATTTCGCAGGCCAACCATAGATATCAGGTGTGTGTCGGCGTGGGCTCGAACGCCAGACCATGTGCATGGCCGGCGAGAGTCCTAACCACTGTGCCACTTTATTAAACCACTTCATACGGGAGATAGAACGCAGACACCTATGACCAAAGAAGCACCAACCATTCCATTATGACTTATCTGCTTTGTCTCCTTCAAGAAATCCACGATGCCTAGTTGAAAGCCAATTGTAAGATGTTCAGAAGTACATTTTTAAACCTAAGGACATAACTGAATAACAGTTACCACCCGCAATCAGGCCATTCCCCAAGTTCATTAGGAACTTGCAAACACTTTAAATACACACAAGAGTAGATAATACCACTAGAGGTAGGTCATATTTGAAGGAGAAAATATATATGCAATAGAGAGATGGAAATTTTTAGCAGCCTAAGTTTTAAGCAGGGCGCTAGTGTTACACCACTAGTTAACCTTCATTTTACTCTCGATTATTTAGTTAGTATTAATTAATGAAAAGGTTTTTTTGAAAGGGTAATAAAGTGTAAAGCGTAAGCGAAAAACTAAGATCAGAAGTCTCCTGATTAAATAAAAAAAACCTGTCTGATTGATGAAACAATTTAGAATAAAATAGCTTTGTAAAGTAGTGCATAAGTTTAATTTACCACACCTCGGATCTGATGAATACATAAAAGTAGAGATAAAAAATGTAATAGAATTACAGTGAATTAAGATGTATAGAAGATAGAGTAATTGAGTAGTAATCAGTGTATATTTTCAGAATCTGAATAATAACATGGAGTGAATACATTTCTGAGGTTATGGACAGTTTTCACACATATGATGAAGGGTCATGCAGTCAAAATAGAAACATATAACGTTACGACTAAGACCGGTACAATATATATATATATATATATGATTACAATAAACTCTAAACCACAAAATGCAAAGTCTGCAACCGTCTTATTCGGTTTTTCGATGTCAACAATTAGCATGACGTTTTGCTGCATCATTCAGGTCTATATGAAAAACTTTATTATATCGGTGTAGGTTGTGATCTTGCCAGTCTTAGTACTTCTTTTCTGAGCACTGGGATAGACACTAATTTCGTGTGTTAAATGAATTTCTCAATCGATTAAAGTTTATGATATCTGAGTATGATCTGTCTCTCATATGGCGGGATAGATACCCTCAAATTATGCTGGTGGAAATTTGTTTATAAGTGGTCCTTACTTTATTAAACATGCGACAGGAAATCCGTGTCAGTTCTAATTTTCTTTTCAAATGCAGTTAGAAGTGTACTGTTGTAACTAGTTGACAGTTTCAGTTTCAAAGAACGCCTTTAAACCAGTCACACAGGTCGTCAGTTTAGCTGGTTTTGACGGTCAGTATTCACTTGATCATAATTGGTCAAAGCTGCTTCTGAAGTACATCAATGAAAAGATTTCACAAATGGATCTTTGGATTTTCTTGAACGCTTTTAAGATCTTTATCCGACAATTTAAGATAATGCAAATTTCTTTTTATTCCATGAGCTACAGGTCGTGTTAGTTTGAATTTTGTTTTAATTGTGACTAACTTACATATATATGCATGCAAAAACCTACTCTAGTTATACACATATTTTTTTACTAGGCCTATAGACCTTTCATCAGATTTCTATGAGGATGATGAGGATGATCAAGCTGACCAGTGGCTGTTATTCTTTGCTAGTAGGCTGGAAAATAATCCCGCACTGCGAAACAAAACAACTATGCTCCGTAGTCTTTCTGGTGAGTCAATGCGAAAATGTCTTTTCGTTTATCTTCTAATTAATTCCCGTTGAATGCTTTAATAATTCCCGTAAACATACATACATATATACATATTACTGTTGTCCCATTGGGTTCCGAGTGGAACACAGACCTTCAACAAGGTATCTCCACTTCGTTCCATTTTCTGGTCTCCTCTTCATCTGGGTCCACGATTGCCCATAATCTCTCATCTCCTCCATGACGGCACTCGTCGCCTCCCATTGGGATTCCACTCAAGGGATAGCCTGCATTGCTTGTGATGTCATTCGACTGTCTCCTGAGCGTATGTCCAATCCATCTCCATTTTCTGCACATTTATTGAGCGCCTGGCTCTTGGATGGTTTGTTTTCATAGTTTCTTGTTTCAAGTTCTTTCCGGCCATCTGATCTTAATTGTCGAACCAGCGAAGCGGGCAGCTACTGATAAAAGTCTGCTTGAAATCTTTTTTTTTTGTGAGGCGTTCACCATGTTTCTGATGCTTATAGAAGAATTAACTTAACATTTGTGTTGAAAAACCCGAATCTTCTTCTTTATGCTGAGTGCAGGAGATTTCCAAACCGATTTCAGTTTGATGAAGGTGCATCCCACCTTTCCGATTCTGGATTTGACATCTCCATCCGTTCCTCCTATGGTTGAAACATTGTTGACTAGCTAGGCAAGTGAAGTGACCTCTATCAAATTTCTCCCGTTGGTATTGATTGGTCTGTCTGTCTGGATTCAACATAGAACTTGGCACCGAAGTGCAGCACTTCGAGTTGCCACCTTCCAAATACCACACACTTACTTTACTTTAGCTATCTCCTACGGGAGGATGAGCCGGCTTCATGAACCATGAAGTTTCATGGGAATTGGGTACGAGTGATGTCCCCAGCATCGCTCGGCCTTTTGTTTGAGAGTGCAGCTCTAGCCTTTACACAACCAAGTGTGACCTACAAGGCAGTAAGAGTGGAGTAGGAAGTCCACTATCCATTGGCAGCCGGTGACCGGAGTCCGGTTCATTCGCCTTTTTGAATGGGGCCAGTCATCCAGGGCATCCAATAAGCCCTTTGTCCATACGTCTGCCGGTGAGCTTCATACGCCAGTCGTTGGAGGTTTGGAATCAGGGTTTAGCCATCTCCCCTAGACTGTCATCCAATGGACAGTCAACCCGGTGAAGAGCGCCGGGCATCCGCTTTTGCCCTCTCACTTTGGTGAAAAACACCTCCGCCACGTGAAGGCAGTGAGTAGGACTTCCTCAGGAGAGGCTATGTAAGACGCCTGGTCATATGGGAGCATTTCAAGAGGTGTACCACACAGAGGTAGACAAGATGAGTGAAGAGAATCAACACAGTCTGACAAGTATAAGAGTGAAACAGAATGGGTAATGGTAGAAAGGAATATGAAAGATTACAAAGACTGAAATATTGATTGGTGCTAATTGTTTTTGCTGTTGGTTGGTTATCTTCATCACCTCCGTTTTCTCTATATTCACATGGTGTCCTGTCTTCGCTACCGACTTCTTCTGCCACTTTATTGGTTTTCTCCTGTAAGTCTCCCAGTTTATGTCACATTAAACGTGAATCCTCCATAAAGTCAAGATCTTGCAGAGTCTCCTTATCGGTCTAAAGTATTCCTGTTTTCTCGCCGCCCACGAACAGTGTCCCGCATAATACAGTCCACCACAATTAAGAAAATATCATCGGGATAGTAGACATACAGCCTTGTTTTACTCCTATATTCACTTTAAAGGTTTCACTTTGTTTACCGTTGTGGATCACCTGACAAGTGGCATTGTCACATAGCCAGCTGTTGAATGAGGATGATAAAGATTTAGGGCACACCATACTTGATGAGGCAGTTTCCAAATTACTTCGTGGGCAACGCTGTCGACGTCTTTTTTAAAGTCGATGAAATTGAGCTACTGACTTGACTGGGATTCTATGCTCTATTCGTTGATGGTGTGTAGAGTTGCAATTTGACCAGCACATGATTTACTTTTCATGAATCCAGCATATATATATATATATATATATATATATATATATATAAGTAGAATGAACCATTTTTGAGAGAATCATCGGGAGATTTTTCAAGATTAGGATCAAATTGAAACTAAGTGATCTATTAATGTTTTCTTAACAATTGAATTTTCACAGACTGTTTTTACTGCCTTACATGTTGTCCGCAGTTATTTTTACGGAGTTCTAACTAAGGCTTCACATTTTTCTGGTTGTTCATGTAAAAAAAACCCGCCGTAGATATTGATATTGAAAGTCTTGGGAAATGCACTGGATCATTTCCCAGTGGATCTGTAGAACTAAAAAGTATTGTTGATCCATGTATTTGTGCGTCATCAACTTTCTCAAGGATGTGTTATCTGTTCGAGCTGGCTTGTATATATACCGACTACGATCGTATTACTAGTAATAATAGGTAAGTTTTTGAAAACTATTTTCATTTCATTGGATTTGTTGTGTATTAAAGTGGAATTTGTACAAAAGTTTTTATTAGATTTCTTTTCCAATAATTTAAATCAAACTGTATAAAACGTGACATTTTGATGTGTATCATGATGCCATTAAATTGTTGTTTAACCTCAATTATACCCAGAACAGATTTCACATGTACCAGGCTAAGAGGCACACTTATCGTTTGAAGATTGATAATACTGCCTAGTTGCACAGAAAAAAGTAGGCGGAGCGGGATCCATTGACTGAAAACCAAGTGCCTAGGCCAATTCTGTCTCTGTTTTCGACATAGAACTTTGCACCGATGTGCACCTGTTCAAGTCGCCACACTCCCTCTTTGTAGCACACAAAGCAAGAGAAGAAAGTAGAAGAAATGCATAATAGAGACAGGGCAAACACAGGTGTGAGACAAAGGAAGAGTAATAACGAAGAACGATATAGTTTCATTGGAAATCATAAGTCACAAGGAGTGGATGCATCTCCGCTAGCCATTGAGAACGATTTCGAACCACATCACCAATTGTCTCCAGCCATTACTGTTTACCGTCCCGAGGATTCCAACCACCTTCCCACGTGACTGGCTTAAACTAACTGTTGTGGATTCCATTGACTGATGAAGCCATCTTTTGGTTTGACCATCACTGGCTCTTTTCCAACCAGATCATGTGTCAGCTCATATTGCCCGATGAGGAAGGCGATGGCTAGTCATACGTAACACATGTCCTAACCATCTCAGCCGATGCAACTTCACAGCCTCGTCGATTGATTTCCCTCCCTTACCTAGCACTCGACCGATGCTTAACCTCAATATTGCTCACCTTATTAAACCACTTCACACGGGAGATAGAACACAGACACCTATGATCAAAGACAGCTAGCCGGCCTTTTCTTCTCTCCCACTTTCAATGACCATTTCTCGCTCACAGCCAGCCATAAAGGAGGACAGAGCGAACTGCTTAGCAGTACACCTGCCCTTTGGTCGATAGTCGGATATCACGTCTACCCTAGAGACGGCGTAAACTGGCATATGCGAAACTAGCTTTCTGTATCCATGTTGAGATTTCGTCAGTGATCAACTCGTTGGCGTTGGTTGATGCATCTTCCTAAATAAGTAAAGTGGTCAACGCGCTCTACCACTTCACTTCCCATTTCTAATCTAGGAGTCGCTGTAGTCCAGTCCTGTCACATCATCTTATATTTAACGGGGGTAAATCGCATACCAAACATTCGTAGATTATAGCTCAAGGTGTTCAGAAGACTCTGCTGTATTTTTTGATAGAGAAAGAAAGACCAGATTTGCAGTATAAAATGATATGGTCATTCTATTTCACAGGTTCTCATCAGCTGCAAACTACCTGAAATTACAATAGTTATAAATAATAACATTTCATATTTCACTGTTTGAAAGGTAATAGAGAAGACATTATAAGGTGAACGCATCTGGAATATAAGTATTATAATCTAAGTCACCATCAATTTATATACTGTCAAACTATGAAAAAAGGAAAAAAAGGGGTGAGAGAAGACAGAAAACAGAAAAATCTAATAAGCAGTGTCAACATGGCACCTCAAGAAGGTCAAAGTTCATCAATTTTCTGTTTTCTGTCTTCTCTCAACCCCCTTCTTTTTCCTTTTTTCATAGTTTGACAGTATATAAATTGATGGCGACTTAGATTATAATGTCTTCTCTATTACCTTTCAAACAGTGAAATATGAAATGTTATTATTTATAACTATTGTAATTTCAGGTAGTTAGCAACGGCTGATGAGAACCTGTGAAATAGAATGATATCATTTTATACTGCAAATCTGGTCTTTCTTTCTCTATCAAAATTTATCAAGGGAACGAAATGTATGAAACTCCGCTGTATTTTGTCAGCCTCCTCGTCTAGAAGGACTATATCATCTCCATATTTTAAGTCAACTAGACTGTTCCCACCGTGCTAACAAGTCAATCCCTGAGTCTCTGAAGTCACTTAGGGTTAAGTCCATTAGTACAACTACGGTGAAATTGAATAGAAAATAGGATAGTGGGCATCCTTGACGGACACCACTAGTTGTCACCACTTCAGATGACAACCCGCCGTAAGCCCTCACCTGGCTGCATGAGTTCGAGTAGAGTACCTTGATCAGTTCGATGTATTTTCTCAGCATTCCCTCTACAGCCAAGCATCGCCAGAGTATCTCTCGGTCAACAAAATCGAATGCTGCCTTTAGGTCAAGAAATATAACTATTGTTGGACGCCAGTAAGAATACCTATGTTCCAGAATCTGTCGAATGGTGAAGATATGATCAATACACCCTCTTCCTGGTCTAAAGCCTGCCTGGTTCTCTCGTGTTTGTGCCTCCCGAGCACCACTTAGCTTATGCAATACTATCGAGCTTAGGACTTTAGATACTATATTAGTCAAGCTAATCCCTCTGTGATTATCACAAGAAGACTTGTCTCCCTTCTTGCATATGGGGATAATCAGTGACTTACACCAACCCGATGGGACTTCTTCTGATTCCCAGACGCTGCCTAGAACCTCAGTTAATACAGGCAGTAAACTGTCTCCACCGTACTTAAATACCTCTGGAGTCATTCCATCAGGTCCTGCTGCTTTGCTTCGTTTCAGACTAACGATAGCTTTAGTAACTTCAGTTAGGGACGGAGGACCTGTGTCTATGTCTCATTCAGGGAGGTGTTGGGTGTTCGGTAGTTTGAGTGTGGCTGTAGACCAATTGAATTACCCCTCAAAGTGTTCTTTCCAGCGTTGCGCTTGTCTATCCTGGGAACTGATTATGGTGCCATTTTCCTCAGAGATTGTTTCACTCATCGTTTGCATTTCCCCACCTGTTTCCCTGATAAATCGAAATAACTGTCTGGTGTTACCGATCGCCGATGCCTTTTCCATCTCTTTCGCTTTTGTCGCCCACCACTGTTCACGGTCCTTGCGAAGGCTTTTCGTAAGTTTCCTTTTGTGCAGCTTTCGCTCCTCATTGAATTCGGAGCTCGCCGGAATAAGTCTTCTAGCATCTATCAGTTCGGATGAGATGGGAGAGATCCAATGGCTCTTACTAAATATTGGTTTTAGGTTATTAATAGCTTTTATAGCTGTATCTCCAACTGACTGACTCCATACGTACCACCTACATACTTCTCAGTCTGGCACAACTGCCCTACTTGGGTATTGAAGTCGCCTGCTAAAACAACTATATCTGAACGTTGTGCTGTTTGCAGCAAATTAGACAGTTTCAGGTAGAAGTCATCCTTTAGTTCATCCGAACTGCAGTTTTTTGGGGTGTAAGCGGAGACTACGAAAAGGCAACGACGGGTAACGCCGTCCTTCCCTCTAACGGACCCGTTCGAAGGGGCCGCACACATACGACTATCTACTGGGATCCAGCCGAGAAGTTATATTTCTGCCCTAACACTCATTGCTATCCCTACACCTGCGAGTCCCCGCGAACTTGCTAAAGGCTCTCCTTACACTCTTAAAGGGGGTTTCGCAGATTTCACCTTGTTGGCCGTGTGAGGTTAAGTGAATAACCACACTCGGGTCTTCTATGCGTGTTTTCGAAACAACATACATCCATGGCTCGAGATGCCAGATTTCTTGCTAGTGACGCCTGTTGTCCGATTTGGCAGAGGGTCCTAACGTTAAATGCTCCTATGCGAAGTTGGTAAACGTGGCTTTAAAAGGCTATCTGGGGTGTTTCTATGGCTGTCATCGTTGTCTGTGGTCACAGAGTGAAGTGAATATGTGGTGAGTGCTGGCTGCTAGCCAAATTGGTAGGCAGTAATTTACGTCAATGTTTATGTCCAAAATATTGGTCATGTGAAAACAAGAACAAAGACTGACTCAACAACTAATCTTAGCAGACTTTGCGTAGGCGGATACAATTAGCAGAGAGATGATCTGACATTCGAGAAACAGCCACAAAGAGAGGAAAGATTAACTTTCAGTGAGAAACAACCAATCAGAAGACTGTGTTTGTCTACTAACAATAATCCATAATAATGTACATGAAAATATATAAATATGTGTTAATTTCCTTAATAAAAAGTATCTGTTGCCAGGCCCTCACTAGCCTGAAGAATAGTACCAACTGTAGTAGGAGAATAAGATGATGAAGATATGGGTAAAGGAGAATGATGTTCAGGAAGGCGTCGTGTACTCTTGGAAGTGTGTGGTGGTTGTTACTTCCTGGCTACTACACTGTGGAAGTTGATTGATTCTTCGGGTACCTAACACAGAAAGAGGGTAGTGTTGCGTGACCTTAGAGCTCATGGAACAACTGCTTGATGCCGGTCACACACGGCCTGTATGAACTGGTCTCTGGGATTAGTTCCGTATTAGTAAACTTACCGCCGGTTACGGACCACAGTAGGGAAAGTCGGGATGTACAATTTTTAGGGTCGACCTTTTCTAACCCCCTCTCTCCAGAGTGGAGAGACGGTGTAGGTGGCTGGCATTGTGGTCATCTGAGGGAAACACCTCACTGCCGTTAGATCCCTGTTCCCCAGCAGTACGACTTCGCCCTCAGACCCCAGCATAGTGTAAGAAAGATTCTTATACAATGCTGTTAACTGCTTTTAGTCTAATCGCTATCCTAACAACCTTCCTGACATGTTAGAACCTGCAGGAACAATAGTTCCAGCCAGTGTAGCTTGTTGGGTCATTGCGATGTGCAAGCTCGATCACCACGTCAAGGTAGCAGCTGTTGGTCAAGCCTAGGCCAATTAGCCATATTTCCACCATACTTGTAAATTGCGCAACAAATCGATAAAAAATAAGAGGGTAAAATCAAGTACAGCAGATGAAGAGAACTAACTATAAAGTGAGGTAGAAAACTGAAAGCAAGCAGGTTAGTCAGAAAAGACGTTTAGTGCTTCATATTTCTTCAATCGTAATTTATTGATTATTGGACACATGTATGTTTATGTACTGGCAGCTCATACCAATTATCTTTGGCACGTAACATCGGGAATACGTTGGTAGAATTCTGTGTGTGTAGAGTTGTAGTTCGTTTGTTGGAACACTTAATTCTCAATAAGAGAGGGTAATAACTTCGAGTCATACTCAGCCTACTTAAACTTGGGTAGTTAGATAATGTTAATAATCCTCATATATTAGATACTTCGTAGTGCCTAGGAGATGAATCTACATTTAGTTGAATATAGAATTCTAGGGAATTTTCCGCAAGACTTGTATGTTAATGCTGATTGCATCATTATATTGCATAAGGAATTGAAACAGTTGGTCTAACAGAATTAATTAAATTATTACTTTACATTTTATTTATTGTAATACTTTCTACTAAGCTATTCATTCATTCTAAAGTCACTTTTTTTCCCAAACGAACTACGTCTGTATGTATATGGCATGCCACATAACACTTATCCGCCAATTCCTTTGCTAGGCTATAAACTGGGCCTATCGTATATTGTGTAATTTTACTGTATGACATTTAAAGACTAGGTGGATTTAACAGGTTCCAAATGGCAAACTTACTGGTTAAAAGTCTAGTATGTAAACTACTGAATGAATGCCTACTCGTTTCTCCGTTGATTTGTGTCATGTATGTAAACAAAGCAAGAAAGTTGTGTTAGGGTACCTTGATATAATAATGAGCAATAAATTATGCTCGAAAAGTCACTGGGCCATGTTACTTCTGTATAACACTGAATGACTTAATCGAAACAAATTTTATCCATAATGGAATTGTGTCAATGGAGTAAAAACTGATTGTTGCAATATGCTCTATAACACAATGAGCAGTAAGTCACACAGGGAAAGAAAGGAGAACGTGAGCTTCGTAACAACGTGTATTCTGTACAGTGGTAGAAATTGGAGCACGTGGGCCAAGCCCTCACAAACAAACAGTCTATTTGTCATCAATAGTATCAAGTCTTGATAGGAGTTATACCTCTTGCTCCACAGAATGGACTCGTTGGTGTTTTGCTGAAGAGAAGAAAAGAAAGCAGGGTTAAATACTCTATCTATAATGGTTTTTATTTTTTTACAGCTCTATTAATTGGCTGTAAAATTGTTTTTTTCCTTCACGTTCCCAGTGGAACATAGGGCCTCAAGCTAGTGGCTTGAAGTTTCTGTAGCAGTGTGTATTTTTTACACGATGGGGTTGCCAGCCTCATGCCCAACATTTCCTCTTTACCAGCTTTTATTACTGGCTTCGCGAGGTAAGGGAGTGTGTCGGCCGAGGATCGAACCCTGGCCCATGTGCATGGTCGGCGAGCGTCCTAACCGCTATGCCACCGACGCACCTGTAAAATTGTATTCATCGCTTATTTGTCTTTGGAGTACGAGGAAACCTTTATATTAACCACGGAAATTGACAATTAAAAAGTTGATTAAGTGAAAATTCGCAGTTACCTCTATTGTGCTTTGCATTTTCAGATTTCTGTTAGTCATGCATTTGAAGAAACTATATGATCAATTATTAGATGTTCATGTGTATTCAGTATGGTTCTTTTATGAAATAAAGAACTTGTTTCGATTAATGACAGACACTGCACCGTCTGTGGCGTAGACGTGATATCCGGCTATAGACCAAAGGGTGGGTGTACTACTCAGCAGTCCGCTCCGTCCTCCTTTATGGCTGGCTGTAAGACCTGGCCATTGAGAGTGGAAGACATGAAAAGATTAGCTGTCTTTGATCATAGGTGTCTGTGTTCTATCTCCCGTGTGAAGTGGTATAATAAGGTGAGCAATATTGAGGTTAGGCTTCGGTCGAGTGCTAGGTAAGGAGGGAAAATCAACCGATGAGGCTGTGAAGTTACAAAGACTGAGATGGTTAGGACATGTGTTACGTATGACTAGTCATCGCCTTCCTCGACGGGCAATGTTAGCTGATATACGGTCAAGCTAGAAAAGAGCTAACGGCGGTCAAACCAGAACATGGCTTCATCAGTCAATGGAAGCCACAACAGTTAGTTTAAGCCACGTAGGGAGGTGCAGACTGGCTGTCTGGTTGGGGTCCTCGGGACGGTAAACAGTAATGGCTGGAAACAATTGGTGATATGGTTCAAAATCGTTCTCAGTGGCTGGTGCAGATGCATCCACTCCTTGTGACTTATTACTTCCAATTAAACTATGTTGATCTTCGTTACTACTATTCCTTTGTCTCAAACCTTTTTTTACTGTCTTTATTATGCCTTTCTTCTACTTTCTTCTCTTACTTTGTGTGCTACATGGAGTGTGGCGGCTTGAACTGGCGCACATATGTGCAGAGTTCTATGTCGAAAACGGACAGGCAGCCTACGGACTCAAATTTCATTATCGGTGTTCATGTACTGACTGTTTACAAGATCTTATTTAGTGGTAATCTTTTTTTTGGTGGTCAACGTGTTATCTGTTGATTAAGTCTTCACAGTCGTTCCTGTTAGATCTTTCTTGTTCTTCTTTTTACTTGTAGCTGTGGTGCATTTAGTGAATGGAAATTAAATCTACCTCGCTGTTGGGATTCTCCAACATTCAAACTAAAAGGTAGATTTCAATTTGTTCTTTTTTTTATCGTTTTAATCGCAGTCCAAATTTATAATGCATCATTCTAATAACTCTTTTTTCAACTATACATCTGTTGCTTTGACTATTTCAGTCTTTAACTTCAGGGATGATTTTGTGTGTGTGGAGTATCGATGGCTCATTCTGTAATTGTGTTTCAACTAGGCATACATGACTATTAGTTAACTGAAACTCACCTAAATCTGTTCACAATAGAGTGAATTTTGTTTTATATGGGTAAAATCAATTAAACGTAGCATGACTAGCAGGTGCTTGTACTGTCTTCCTCCATATAGATTTGTATCTTTGTACTGCATCGCAAAGCTACATACATTATCAGAACAACACCTAGCATAACAGTTGAAGTAGTTACATTTCATATCAACCGATGGAGAAGAATGAATAAAAGACAAGACGAAGAAGTGGAAATGAAAATTCAAAGAAAGGAATCGAGTGTAATATTGTGATTAAAATAAAGATGACTTCCATTCATGTGTATGTGTGCGTGTATATCCAAGTCGTATCACCTTAACTTACTAACTTAATAACTCCTCTTGTCTCTGGGCCTTTAAGCAATCAGACACCATTTCTATCCAAAGTTGAAATTGAAAGGCAGAGCTTATTAGTATCATGGAATTCGCCAATGGACCGTTCCGACTGACTACTGTTAAAACACACAACACTCTCAAGGCCTGATTTCTGTTAATAACTATGTCGAATAGTGAATTCAGTGTTTGATAATGTCCTATTTCGTTAGTTCTGTGGTGAGAGCTGTGTGCTAGCCAAAATTGTAGACAACAATTTACGTCAGTGTTTACATCCCTTATCGGGGTCATAAGAAAAAACAATAACAAAGTTTAACCTTGAGGAACTCACCAACCAATCACAGTGGACTAAACGTGTGCAAATACGAATCGCAGATATATCGCCTGACTTTCTATGAAACGGTTACAAGCAGTATAGAGTCATTTTTAGCAAGAAAACAACTAATCAGAAGACGTTGCTCCTCTGCTAACTATAACAATAATAATGTACATAAAAATCTATAAATATCTCTTGATTTTCTCAATAAACGATCTGCTGTCTGGCTCTTGTCTTCTGTCGTTACAGTTCTACTTCAAATTATTTATTCAAACACAAACCTGGAACATTATGGACACCGGGAAATGTGCCACACGAAATCTTAGTATATGTGAGGGTTTGGATATTCTCGGTACACCCAAACGTAAGCTGGTGGTTGTCTTAAGGGGTCATCCATCCTCACCGAATCTTTGACTTTGAGTTTGATTCACAAGGCAGTGAAGCAACGTCAGGACCTGTGTTCTCATGGTTTCCGGTGTACAAAACAGGTTCATATTCCATTCGATACTTTCGGATTCCGGAGCCGATATACAGCATAGGTTGTGAATCAGGGTTTTTCAGCTTTCCTAAGTATACTAGCATCTCCACGAGTCTGGTTGTGAGTGCGTTAGTCCTTTCACTTTTGTGAGAAACATCTCCGTTGCGTGAAGTCGGTGGGTAGAATTTGCTTGCTGGAGGCTATTAACTCGTAGTCACCCTCGGTCATACCAGGTCATTTATAGGGGCAAACTTGAAATAAAGTAACAGTATATTTATTACTCGTCACTAATCCATATACAAAGTATGAGTATCTAGTCACATTATGCTTTTCAAGGTGGAAAATTAATATTTTGTGTAACTTTATTGTTTGTAAAATGTATAATATGAAAGATGATAATCTTAGCTAAATCGTGGATATTTACTCTAGAGTATATTGACCAAAGTTGATTTAAAGTTGTACTGTTTACTGTCCTCCAAAGTATGTATTAATAAAAATTCGTTTTATCCTTGTAATTATAATCAAAATAAAGATTTATAGCTACACTAGATAGTTTAGCTTTTATCGTTGCAAATAAACTACAACTTCTGTGGAAAGTATTTTATCATATTTCATTTTTTTAGTCTTAACAATCAGTCTATGATTGATTGATCGTGATTGAATTAAGGGGATATTTTTTTTGTTCCTACTCAGCTCTGTTATACAAATGTCGTTTCTTTTGGCGTTACAATCCACCGATGCCTAAAAAACCAATCAGTTGTAAGACAATGTCAAGCACGGACTTTGATCCGTCAATGGAGAAATATTGGGCACAAAGATATCGTTTATTCTCTCGTTTCGATTATGGTGTTGAATTTGATTCTGGTAAGGTGTAATTTGATTTAGTTATGGTACTTTTTGGGGGAATATTCTAATAAAGTTGTACAGAAAAATTCATGGTATACTGTGACTAACTAGTTAATTATTTTTTGTGTGTGTGAAAATTTCCTTTGCATTTTATAGATGCATTGTTCAGTGCTACACCCGAGGTAATAGCTGCCCATCAAGCTAAACGCATTTATCGAGCTCTGTCAACTTCTTCCTTTGTAAATGGCAGTTGCACTGTTTTGGATATATTCTGTGGTACTGGGTCAAATGCCATACAACTGGCGCAACGTGGTTTCCGAGGTATGTATTTACATTCTAAAATGTGTAATTATAAATAACACGTCAGTGACTAATTTGCATATAGCAAACGTTTAAAAGATTTATCTTCTCTTCTCTTACTGTTATAGTGTAGCGTGTGGCTGATATAAGAATGGAAACATAGCCACTTTACTAGAGTTGTCAACTCCTAGCTTAGTGATAGGGAGTGAAGTGATAGAACATGTTGACCAGTTCACCTATTTGGGAAGTTGTATCATCACCAATGGACTGATTGGCGTCGAAATCTCAGCACGGATCCAAAAAGCTCGAGCTTCTTTCTCTGACTTACACCATCTCTGGCGTAGGCGTGACATCCGGCTGGCTATCAACCAAGGGACGTGTGTACTGCTCAACAGTTCGCTCCGTCCTTCTCTATGGCTCTGAAACATGGCCAATACGAGTTGAAGACATGACAAGGGTGACTGTTTTCGATCGTAGATGTCTGCAGTCTCTTTCTCACGTTAGGTGGTATAATAAGGTAAGTAATGTTGACGTTAGGCGTAGAGTGTTGGGCAGAGGGAAAATCAATCGACGAGGCTATAAAGTTACATAGATCGAGATGGCTAGGTGACGTGCTGCGCATGCCTAACCACCGCCTCCCCCGACGGGCATTGCTAGCTGATATAGGTGCAGGTTGGAAAAGAGTAAGTGGTGGCCAAACAAAAACATGGCCTCCCTCATCAATCCATGAAATCCTTGACAGTTAAACTGAGTCAGGTAGGGAGATTCAGACTTCTGAGTTGGGGCCCTCGGGACTGACTCTAGGAATTAATGGCTGGAGACAATAGGTGACATGGCTCAAAATCGTTGTTAATGGCCAGCGCAGATGTATTCAGTCTCTGTAATCTTTCATATTCCTTTCTACCACTACCCATTCTGTTTCACTCTTATACTTGTCAGACTGTATTGATTCTCTTCACTCATCTTCTTGTCTACCTTTGTGTGGTATTTGTAACGTGGCAACTTGAAGTGCTGCACTTCGGTGCTAAGTTCTATGTTGAATCCAGACAGACTGTGTGATATATCCAACGAACAAATCAATATCGAATTATATACTACCATTATTGCCAAATTTTTACACATATAGAGTTTCCCTACACTGAGTCAAGTGATTTTACTTAATTCTGATGATCAACAATTAGCGTTGCCTGTCTTGAAATTCTTGGGGATTTCTTTCCAACACTTAGAAATTATTTCTTTAATTTGGTATGATTTCGTATCCAACATTCATTGCTGAATCATGAAAAATCTTAATTATGATTTAAATTTTCCCGTTAATTGGTTGGATCTCTGTTGATATATGTCGGCTCGTAGTACTGACGCTCCTACGATGTCTGAGAATTTACATGAAGTAATTCAGTGGATAGTGTTTTTGAAGCTAAGGGTATTGGGTTTGAGTCTCGTTGGAGAAACTGTCGCTCGCTCCCTGGGGATTGTAGGCACATCCAAGTGACGAGTCCATTCTAGAATTCCACTGCCAATCACCATCTATCAAATTACTTTATGTGATCACCAGTTCTTTATATCTGTGCTAAAGTTACACCGTAGTTTGCATATTAATCGAATATCTGGATTACGTTTCTTTTACTATATATATTTTTTCGTTTTAGTCGTCGCAGTTGAATGTGATCCTATTCGTATTGCAATGGCTACACATAATGCCGAAATCTACGGTGTTGGTCATCTGATTGAATTTGTTTGTGACGACTATTTCACTTGGGCATGGAAAGAAATTCATTCAAGGAGTACTGCTGTTCAGTCACAATCTCCTAAGAAGACTGAATATATGGCCGCATTTATGTCACCACCATGGGGTGGACCCAGCTACTTGGATCTTGACAGTTTCGAGCTATCTAATATCAAGTTTCAAAATTCTGACACAGATTTTTGGTCTGCTTTATATTTAGCCTTAGTGTTGGCTAATGGAAATGCAGCAGTATATTTACCTCGCAATACAAACATTGCAAACTTTGTAAAGATTTCAACAAAGTGTGTTAAGGAATTGAGAACTGACCCATTGAATATTGAATTCGAACTAGATTTGATTAATTCTAAGGCTAAAGCTTTAACAGTTTATTTCGGTGCTTTAGCGAACTGTAATCAACTGACTGTTGTACCCAGTGAATCGAGTGACTCAAGTGAATCAGACTACAGTGAATAATTATAGCCTATGAACTTTATATATGTGTGTAAATAATTTATTTTTGTTATCAAGGTGGTTTCCTTTTTCTGAAAATATATCGTTTGATCAGGATTTTATTTCTCGACTTTTACATATTCTGTAACAACAGAAGACAAGAGCCGGCAACAGATCGTTTTATTACGTAAATCAACACGTATATATATATATATATATATATATATATATTTCATGTACATTATTATAGCTTATTCAAGTAATCAAATACAGTCTTCTGATTGGCTGTTTCTGGTTCCTCGGAAAGTGAGGCCATCTATCTGCGAATCATATTTGCCCACGTTAAGTCTGCTGTGATTGGTTGTTGAATCAACCTTGTTCATATTTTCTCACGGCCAATATTAGTGATCTAGACATTGACGTAGATTAATGTCTACCAATTGGCTAGCAGTCTGCTCTCACCACAATTCTATTGGCGAAATTGATTAGATTGAATATAAAATGAATAACCTATGAAATAAATTTATCAAGGCAAGGCAGTAATAATTAGTCCAGATTTTGAGGGTGTATATTGCATATTTTGTGGTATTATAACGACAGAAGACAATGGCCAGGTAACAGATCCTTTTTATTAAGGAAATCAACACATATTTATAGATTTTCATGTACATTATTATAGGTTATTGTTTGCAGAAAAACACAGTCTTCTGATCGGTTGTTTCTCACTGAAATTTAACCTTGCATCTCTTCACTTCATCTATATGTTAACTGTATCCGCCTAAGCAAAGTCTGCTGCGGTTGGTTGTTCGGATTTTCTCACGACCAATATTTGGGACACAAACATTGACGTAAATTACTGTCTACCAATTTGGCTAGCAGCCAGCTCTCACCACAGTATATGTTCTGGTTGCACATGCAGCATAACCTTTGAAACACTGAAATTGAGTATATGTGTTATTATTCCTTGCGTTCCGAGTGGAACATTGGGCTTAAAGCTTTGAACTTTTCGTAGTGATATATTGTTGTTTTTATGGAGACTTACACCCAACTTTCCGTCTAGGCGGAATTTAAGGGTATATCTGTCGGGAATTGGACCTGGACCGTGTGTGTGACTGGTGGTGAGATTTTCACCACTGAGTTATCAACACTGGAATTGAGTATATTGGTCAGAAGTAACGAAGACGAAACATGTAGTCTGGCGAAGAGGCTGTTTTCGGCGGATTCATTTTCTTTAGCCATACAATTGCACTTATATACACTTTTTTTTTCTCCTGAAGAGGGGTAGCAACATAACTGATGAGTTGTCATAATCATAATTGTTAATGTTAGTCATTGAATAAGAGGAGTCGAATTAGAGTCACGTAATAAAGTGGATAAATTAATCACTTGTCACCTTTGTTACTACCCTCTTTCATGGAAAAATTGTGCATAAAGACGACTTTACAGCTAAAGAAAATGAATTTACTGGAAACAACCTCTTCACTGAACTAGGTGTTTAGTTTTCGTTGATGTCCGGGGGGTGATTATTCATAAATAGAATTAGTCACAACTATCAAGAATATCGTCCTTCACTTAAAATTGCATATTGTCATTAAAATTTCAGTAAGCGCCGATGTTATATTCTGAATTCTGTATCTTAGATGCAATGAAAAAACTACCTGACTATGAATACAAATATCTTTGCTCGTATTTCAAGTTAGTGGTGATTAGTTGAGCGAAATTGCTATAAACGATTGTCATTGTCGGTTCTTTGGCCTGGGACTCCGTAGATACCCCACAATATGTTTTTCTGACAATCTAAGCTTCCCTATCTGGGTATTGAAATCACTTACATTGGACTGCTTTTCTTTGTATAGCAAACTCAAAGCCTTGTCATAAAACATCCTTTATTATAAAATTCAGCTAGTGGACACGTAGGTCGAAACTAAGATAAGCTATCGATGAGTGTTACTGTCTTTCCTTGTTCTTTGGGATCCATTCAGCTTGAGAGCATATACCACTATTTAATTAAATCCAGTCGGAGAGTGAGTTTTTGTGTTGTAAAACTCAGTGGCGTAGAATCTCTTGGAAGCTGTAGGGTGTTTGCCAGACGTGTGCCTCAGAGATAGAGCATACATACATCGACTCCTCGAGATGCCAAAGTTCTTGAAAATGGAGTCCTGTCTTCAATTTGACCTTAGGTTCGGATGTATACTGCTTCATAGCGTAAAAGCCTGTATGAATTTGTAAGACTTGAGGTTGTTTTGCTTACCTATCTTGTTATCAATGATCACAGAGTTAAGAGAAGACTGATGAACTGTTTGAGAAATGGTACTAAAAGTGAAAATTGAGAAAGGGAGAGAGGTAAATACCCCTTTTCCTCTGGCAGAAGAAAGCCGCTCTTAGTTTAAACGACTTGCCCTGTGATAATAACTACTGTTCAGCTTTCCTCTCCAGTATGGTAAGACCTCCTAGTTATCATAGTTTTGAAATAACAGAAAAGTACAGTTTTCTGGGTAATTGTGAGATGCAAGCTTCACCGCCAAGTAAAGATAATAACTGCTAGTTAGGAATCATACCATAGCTAACTCATGGATTATCAACCAATGATTCACGGATACCAAACTTATTCCGTCTATATTCTAGGAATTTTGGTGCTTTCCACTGACGCTGCACAGCTGGGGTATTTCATGACCTAGAAAGCTGATGTTATAAGTAACAGTGGATTTACACTAATGTGATACTGATAAAGTCAGTACTCTGGTACAGGTTTTATCTCCAATTTAACAGTCAATCGTACTGTAGTGGGAGCTATTTGCTAGCCAAAATTGTACGCACCAATTTAGGTCAATATTCACTTCCCGAATCGGGACCACGAGAGAAAACAATAACAAGCCTAACCTTGAAGAACTCAACAACCAATCACAGCAGACTTACTGTGTGCAACACGATTCAAAGAAACGGCCACAAAGAGATGACAGAATAACTTTCAGCGAGAAAACAACCAATCGGAAGACGCTGTTTCTCTGCTAATAATAATGTACATAAAAATCCATAAATATCTGTTGATATTCTCAAAAACGATCTGTTTCCTGGCTCTTGTCTTCTGTTTTTACAGTACTAGTAAATCAAAAGTATGAGAAAAATATTAAATACATTCTAATATTCTCTCATTTTCAATGTATTCGTAGTCCTACTCAAAGTGAGTAATGTTGAAGATTGAGGTAGAATGATAACTGTAAAGAAGATGAACCAACTAATGAGATTGTGAATCGTTACCATTTCAAGGGATAAGCGTATCAGGTTGTTGATTTGAGTCAAATAGTCTGTTTTACGAGATAATTGAAGTAGTAATGTACACAGAATTCCTGTAACGTGTGTTTTATGATTTTGCACATTTGTTGGTGGAAGGATGGTTTTAAGACACAAGGACTGCATCCTAAATATATATGAGTGAAGTTGCTAAAAAGAAAACGAAACATCCAACCAATTTATTGGCTGCTAATTTGTTAAATGTCAGTGAGAAACTGATTTTGCCTGTTAAGAAAATCTCTGAAATTATCTGAAGACAGAGACTACGGCTCACTGGTATATTCGGCCGACTTGCGACCAGTAGGTCACCGCTTTGGAGGTTGCTCCGTCCACTAAAGTTTGGAAATACAGTAAATGTAGTAAAGGCAGGATACAAAAATATATTAACAGTTCGGCGTACAGATGTAGGCAAAACACGTTTGGCACATATGAGAACCTTCATTTGCAAATATCTTCGATATTGTGCTACTTTTTTTACATATTGTTCCTCTTTGTCTTCTTTTCGTGTTTTCTATGTAGTTTCACAAGAATCGTTCAGTTCTTCTCTTTGCCATTAAATCCATAACTCCGTTATTCGATATTCTTGCAGATGATATACATGCTCATATTTGTATCTATATACTACTTATAAGCCTTGTCAGTAGGGCACACCACAGTATCATTAGCCCACATACGATAAGTGTGACTCATTGCTAACTGCATTGGATTGCAATTGGTTATTGAGTAACGTTTCTTCACTTATTGGTAATGTATGTATTCATAAATTCGTGATTGATAGTGCAAAAATGTGAGTAAAGGGAAAATCAGTAGGTGTTTATACTTTTCACTGATAAAAACAAGGTTTGAGATATATGAACTGATTCACTTAGTAATCCTATCAGAATTGTAGAAAAGAAGTTTATTGAAACAACCTGTTAGCAGTCAGTATCTAAATTCCATACATTTATTCCCCTTAATGAATTTTAACAAAGCAAGAACTACAGTTTTAGCAGAATAAAGTGGTACCATCTTTTATTTCGTTGCCTTCTCGTCAGTTGCTTACAGGGCAAAGACATTATTAGATATATCTACAAAAACAATTTTAACATACTCTCACAGAGTTCATTTTTAACAAAAACCAATCGATCAATATACGCATACACTAATAATATATATATATATATATATGCAATATTAAACACTATTCCGAACAATAATAATCATACGCAATGGAAACCTTTCAGCATTTCGCATTCGTATGAAAGAGAGATGAAAATATCCAGCTACCAGGGCAAAGAAAGACTGATAACCACTTCTTTCTGGACGCATAAATCAGGTTTCAGACGCTTGATGGAAATGGCTTCAGCAAACTTAGGGAGAGTTGAGCTCTTTTGCCTATTGATAATTTTGAACAAATTTTCGACGTCCACCTAATGACCCGTGTCGAAGAGATGCCTAGCGATGGCACTGTTTAAAACATTTGTTCCCTTTAGACATAAGCGTTTTGGTACATGTTCAGAAAATCGTAGATATGCCCTTCTTTCTATCCTTCCAATGTAACTGCTCCCGCCTGATAGGATCCCACATATTTTGGTATTGACTGTTTAAACTTGCATTTATGGTATGTTATCATTCTCACGCATTTTGGTAGTGACTGCTAATTTTGTATATCATCATTCTCACGCATTTTGGTAGTGACTGCTAATTTTGTATATATGGTATATAATCATTCCCACACATTTTGTTACTGACTG